ACACGTGTGTGTTCGTGTCACCTCCCCTTTTCTGCACACAAACGCTGGCATACTGGAAACACTCCTGCTTTCTCCCACTTAGCAACATACCCTGGAGAACAGTTCGCATTAGTACACAAAGAGGAGAAAGCAAATCTCAACAAGGAAAAAGCTTTCCCTTGAGGAAGCTGCCACCCTCATCTGAGTCAGGATTCCAGGGGTGGTGGGAAAGTGTAGTGGAAGTTCCGCCAGGAATATGACAAAAGTCACCCACCACTTCCCACCCCACACCCGTTATGCATAAAGGTCCTTCCTTCCTACATCGAAAGGGTCTTTTGCAGAGCTGTGCTCTTGTGACCCTACCCGCCCACCTTCCTCTTCACCTCGGCATGGAGACTGAGGCTCTGAGTGGAGACACATCCCCTGTGTCTTGGGGGACACAACCAATAAAGGGCCTGTGCAACTGTGCAACTGAATCCCTCCTTCCCAGCTTCTCCCGGTGCCTCCGTGGTTGTCGGCCCACGAGGGTACAGCTAGAAAAGGGAGATTCTCACATCCCCTTTGTCTCTTGGGAACTGGTTTGCAGTAAAACTTAACTGACAAGCAATCTGGTCACTTAGCACAACTGAGTATTTCCTACTCAAGCCAATGGTGGTTGTAAAAACTAAACACGGACTTTGCTTTTTTGTTGTTGTTAAGCTGGTTTAATCTCATGTTTTTCATTGTTATGTTTCATTTCTTTGCCTCGGTGTTTTTAATTAATTTGGGTTTATGTTCAAATGTAATTGGTAACTTTTATCAAATTATACTTGCACGTGGTTGAAAGTGTCAGATGTTTCTACGAGGCTTTTAAACACAAATATCAGCCCCCTGGCACTCCCTTACCACTTACTGCTCCCTAGGGCAACCCTCTTGAGTCTTTTTAAGTGATTCTTTTGGTATTATGTCTCTATTGATATAAAACACGTGTGCTGTTCCTTCTTGGTTTTTTAGGTTTAGGCATTATCTATTGACATTCCTCTCTGGAAGGGAAGGATTTAGGTCTCTTTCACCCACTCACAGCCCATCTCCTTCTTCTATAGGTGAGGAAATGAAAGTGAAGTTGGAGTGACCTGCACAGTATCACGTGCCTGCTAGGAAGAGCCTCTCCATGTTTATGATTAATTTACCATTATTTCCATGAACTTAGGGAAGCTTTGAGTCTCGTTCTCAATCTTTGGAGCAGTGGCGGGGGGAATCCAGATCCCCTAGAGTATCTGATGAGTACTGGACCTTCTCCTCATAAAAATACCTGCAAGCTTAGACACACGGAGTGTCATGTACAATTAATTTCAGAATGTCCACAGACCCCCTGAAATCTGCTATGGGCCCTACAGGAGTTAATAGTTCCCAAGATTAATCTCCCCTGTATTAGCAGTTGGATGAAGACATTCAGAGCCGTGGGGAAGCCGAACTTGTATAAGTGACCCCAAGCGTCCTACTAGCTGCTTTACCAAAACAATGGTGAAAAGAAATAAAGTATTGCCTTAGAACCAAGCTATAAAAGATATCAAACTTCTTTTCTGGACATTTCCTTTCAGTGTTTTGTGTGAGGGATTCACTATTAAAATACAACGATGGATTTCAGAGACATAAGAAGGCAGATTATTGCCCCTTAGCAGGGCAGAGCACTTGGAGGCCTAGGGTGTGAAATTCCACAAGTAAAGGGAGAGTTCATTCTCATTTTTCCCCTGGGGAGGCACAGGCCGCTCTCGTGATCCTGGAGGCCACAGAAATGCATCTGCTGCATCACTGCCCTGGCCAGGGGATTCTGCTGCACCTGCTCCCACTCGAATCCTAGCCTTACTGCCTTACACCCTCTGCTGCCCTCTCCAGAGCTGGCTAAGCTAGGTTTCCCCCACTCTCTCTCTCATCCTCAGATGAGGCATTGGCATCCTACACTGGAAAGTTCAAAGGCGAATGTTATAGAGTGGACATCTGGGACTGTCAGGCCTCAGGTGGTGACACAGGACGGAGGACTCATTGAAAAGCAGCAGCATCCAGAGCAACATGTCCTGCTCTCCTCTCTCTGAGCCAGCCAGCTTGGTTGCTCCAGACTGGGTGCCTTGGGTATGAGTGGCAGTGTGTGGAGGGGCTCAGGAGCTGGAGGGCTGGGAAGAAGCAGCATTGCAAAGTGAAGATGAGGATGGTGAGTCAACAGAGTTCATCGGGCGGAGATCGGGGCCCACGCTGGGGCATTGTCAGCTCAGATCTGACCTCAGGAAGACTCTAAAGAGTGTGCATGTGTGTATGTGTGCGCACGCTCATACAAGTGTTCGCTTTATTCAGGAATGGCGCCTCCTGGCTCTCCACCTCTAGCTGTGAGAGCAGAAGTCTTAACAGGATTAAACTGAGCCCATAGGCAGGCCAGGCCATGGCCTTGGTGGCTTCCTGAGGGAGCAGGCCCTTAGTGGAGGGGAACAGCTCCCTTCCCAAATAAGGTCATCTGTTCCCTCCGGGAGACTTGGGATGCTCAGCCTGACACTTGTTAGAACCTGCAGACCCAGCTGTCACTGGGCAGGGAGGGAATGCCCTGAGGAAACGGTATTTACAACGATCCAGGTCGGAGGTTCCTGGTCCTGCCTGCTTCCTGTCCTAGGTGCTAGAACCTTCCCTGAGTGGCCATCACCTGGGCAGCCCAAGACTGCCCAGCTCTCCACACCAGGTTCAGGCAGAGCAGGCTCCATAGAAATCACTGCAATACCCGCTAACAGCCACGGCAACCAAAAGTTCCAAGGTTTTTTCTCCAGAAGACACTGGACCTCACCTCATTATGCTTCCTCCCTCCCCGGCCCCAGACATGTTTCTTGAACATCTTCCAGTGCCAACTTCTAGAGGTTTAAATGCTCCAGGCAGAGGACAGACCGCACTTTGACCTCATTATCCAGC